AACCCTAAACCCTAAACCCTAAACCGTAAACCCTAAACCCTGCACCAGAAAGCCTCCTCAACTTCCAGGAACCAACTCTGCAAAGAAACGCTAAGCCTCGTTGACCAGGAACAGACCCAAAGGGTCCATGTGGGTATATGGTAGATACTTAGGGCCCAAAGGGGTTCCCATATACCTACTTTAAGGCCCAAGTATATCCCATATACCTACATGGACCATTTGGGAGAAAGAACTGATGCTGACTTGGAAGCCTTGATAAAGGGGCCTCGAATCTAACCAGCATATGTTGATTCAGGACCGCCTTACCCTAAACCTAAACCCTATACCCCAAGATAGTAATCCCGGTTATAAGGGCTCCCCAATATGAACCGTTGGCTTCAAAGAGCAAACCGCTTATCTCTCAGTTGTTCAAGCGCCTTGCAGGGAGTCTCACCTCCTTAGGCTTTATGGTCTGGGGGTTTGGCGGTGCGTTAAACTGTATTTACAAAAGGGAATGAAAGAGATATGGCTAGTATATCTTCAATGCTCAACCTACCTCGACCCTGAATGTCCTTTTTGGGGGGTTCTGCCCCAAATTGTTTGTAAGGTATATCTTCGCGAAGAAATTGACATCATCCAGGGTCCAGGTATACCTTTCCCCTGAGCTTTCTCAAACCTTTTGTCCGCTGGAGGATCATCCCGTCCCCGTTTCCCCTTCACAGTCCAGGAGAATGGGGCCCCCCAAGTACCCACCAAAAAATGTTCCGTATTAATATATGCCCTTCTTTTGCTGTTTTAACGTATGAGCGCTCAAGAAGGACTGTAAGTCTGGGAACGCCAAACCCCCCCCCTCCCATTTGTCAAATGTGACGCCCGCAAAAACTTGGGCATCGCACTCTGGATGACCTGGCGCCATGGATTCTGCTGAAGTTGGAAGTGGCATAATGGAGCGGTACCGGTACCCCTAGGAAAATATGGAGATGAGAGACGAATCTTTTACGAGGTCGTATAGGGATGTTTTGAACATAATCATTAAGAGCTCAGGGAAGTCGTCTTTTGGGAAACAGGGCCCACTACACCTTCCTCACATACCCGCCCCGGCTCCGAATGAGCACATGCCAACAAAATGCAGTGGCGGCTCAGTTGACAATTAAGACGTTGGGGACTTTCTTCGGGACTTTCTCATGGAACCCTTAAAACACACATCGCATGCCTGTAACATGCTTAAGGAGGGCAGAAAGCAACAGCCCAAGATCCTTGTGAAAGACATATCAACAGCATATTGCAACCCCTTGAGAATGTGCCGTGTGAATGCATCACCGGAGATGACGGCTCCCCACGTACTCTAATTTGGCCTTGATTTCTAATACTTTCCCAGGCTCCTCCCGTTGCAATGTACTTCCTTTTTGGGTAGCATCCTATCATCCCCTGCCAGAAACCAGTACACCCCCCCCAAAAAAACAACAACAAACGACCTAAGAATACCGGCGTACATGTGTATGTACAGATACAGCAGCCAGCTGCATGCACGAACATACACACTAAAGGGTCCATGTGGCCATATAGTACTGTAAATCAAGCTGTGGCAACACCATGGAATCATGAGCACACATTGTAGACCTACATGCAACCTTTGGGTACACACCGCGATGTGCCTTTCACAGGGCTCAAAGGCTACGAGCTGTCAAGCTCTGATGAATAAGGCGGTTTTAGTTCTTTGTAATCGTATGATACTCATAGGGCCCGTGCTATCGCCCTAGGGATCCAAATAGCCCAATGTAGGTAATATTCACAGGTTTTAGGACTTGGATGCCTAGGTGGGGGTTGGTACCAAGATCCTACTATTCCTGCTCCCAAAACCCTAAAAACCCTAGGCCCTAAACAACTCGGATCTCGAGAAAGCAGGCCAAGAAGCGAGGTTGAAGCAGGGGTATAGGGTTGAGGGTTTAGGGTAGAGTTTAGGGCTTAGGGTATAGTGTTGACGGTTTAGGGCTTTAGGGTTAAGGGGTACAGGGCTACGGGCTATATGAGGAGATATAGGGATAAGTTTTGGACTATACAGGTCGGGGCTTTCTAAGGTTTAGGGGATATCACCTGGATAGTGGAGCATCAAATGGAAAAGACAAGGAAAATGCAATATAGGTATTATGATATAGGGATTAGGTCGCAATAGTAGGTTTTAAGGCCTATAAACCTAAAATCAAATGGAAAATGAACGCGGAACATGAAACAGAAATTGGGATTCTACAGCGCATTCTAGAGAACTGAATTTTGCTTCTTGGTGTTTGAAGCAGGAAAGAGTACCTTCTGCAAATAGCATACTATATCCCAAAGCATGATGTGAGCTATCCCAGACCCCCAAAGGGATCTAAAAATTAGATCCCCTAGAACCATATGGGAAATTATATAAGGATTATATAGGGTTATGATGGGTTTATATAGGGGATCTAATTTTTAGATCCTCCCAGGGGTCTGGGATAGTCTCAACTCCTTGTCTCCGCCTTTAAAACCCCTATGGTAGTTCCCTATATACTCCCCGATAGAATCCCCCTTTAAGGAGTTTAGATTATGGCTCACATAGTCTTACGCAAACTCGGGGACCACCATCATACTCAGATAACTCAGATAACACTGAAGAAGCCAATGCAAAAGGAAAGCTGGTAGAGCTGCATCTTATCCAAAAAACAAACGGACGCTTTAGGACGCCCGCCCCCCAAAGCCAGGTTACAAAGGCCGCATCCAGAACGCTAAGCATCCAAGACTCCAAAGAGACATACCCTGAACCCTAAACCGCATTGAGCCTGACCATCGTAGGTCCATGGCGGCTCATTACCAACCTTTGCGCAAGAAATTGACATGGTTAACATATGGGAGTGGGCCCCAATTACTGTTTCCAGAATGAAGGAAATTTGCATCTGGACCCAACTTGCAATGGAACCCCCACTACTTTAGGGACCCGTATCTTAGTGATTTTCGTCCAATCCCTGTGTGGAGTTGTCTAGATGATGGCCCTGTTGCTAGGCCAAGGCTACAAGCAGAGGAGTTCTGTCTGACTGTTGCCGACAGAACCCTGCATGAAGTAGGTCTACCAGACTACTAGTATACCATAGTTCCCCGAACGTTGGAAGATAGGATCATGCAGGATTTTACACAATAACAACTTCCTCTCCCCGTATTACTTGTGGTCAAAAGACTGGACCGTTTGATGATCCCTACTGAGCACCATATGATCTCGTATGGCCTCTCTCTTTGAAAATGTTTCCAGCAGTTCAGGACATGGCGTGGCCTCAGAACATCCGAGAACAACGACAAGGAGAACCTCAGAATTTCCGTGAGAGCCGGTTGGTGCTATGATTTCACCTCACCCCCCCTACATCATCCCCTGCTTGAAACAAGACGCGCCATGCACGTTTGCATGCCGCCCTTTCAAGGCAGGATTGGTTCTAGATAGTGTAGAGTGCGTGATGCTCAAGGCGGATTCCGTGAGTCGATTACCTTGCAAGTGGACTTCATCATCACAGGCCTATTCCGGCACCTGTGCCAATTTTAACATATTTTAACCATACCCAAGAAGGTGGGTTGTGACAGGGTCGTGGTGTAGGTGTTAGGGGTTATATATGGGAGTTTCCCAGATTCGGTGTCCCCTCTATCTACCCCGACACTATGCCCTGTCCCCCCCGAACGAAACGGACCTCCAAAACACCCAAATGTATTGCATTCTCTAGAAGCACCCTGATGCAAATTCCCAAGCACCTAAGTGATTAGCCATCTTATTCTGCGGTCTACTTGAAGCACCCCGTAATCACTTGGGCCCCTATATTACTTTCCCTCTCTTCTTGCATTAAGAGAATATAGACATTATCTTTGTCCATGTTAGCTAGCTTACATGAAGCAAGCTGTAGGGGAGTTTTGCCATCGGGGGAGGGAAGTCGTAGGCAAGCGCTTGTCCTGAAGATACGGTGTGTGCAAACTTTTCTGTGCAGCGCCAGCTTTCGAGCTTCTATAGTCCGCTGTGACTACACAACAGGAATATGGGTGGTTGTGAAATTTATGGTCCCTTTTTGGGTACCCTAAATATTAGGTGCCGTATTATAATAGGGATCCAAAAAGGGACCATAATTTTGACAACCACCCGTATGAGGGGGGGGGTCCGTAAGTGGGGGACCCCGATGTTCTAAAATCTTTGTTGCTGGTACCCCCCAAGAAAGGCCCCTACTCTTAGGAAACTCCCAATATGGTAGTTTCCCAAAATGAGGGGACCCCCAATATAGGACCCCAAAATACTATGGTCCTGATTATAGGGACCCTCAAATTGGTACCCTTAATTTTGGGAACCCCCCCATATCTTTGCAGCCTCTTTTGGCCACCCTGTGTCTCCCATGTCTCTCACTTCCGTGGGGTGCCAGGATATGGTGGGAAGTCTGTCCCCTGCGTCTTAGGGGGTGGTGGTGGGACAGGTGGCGCCTGGGATGTCTGGGGAGTCTGTGCCTGTGGCCTGGCTGGAGGCGTTGGGGGTGCCCGGGGAGTTGGCGGCATGGCCGGGGACCGCGGGGGCCCTGGTGGTTGGGATTGGGGCGCCGACCGAGGAGGGGGGGTAGGGGTAGAAGGCCAGGAAGCCCGACTTTCTTCGTCCACTGCCACCTCCGGCTTCACTGAAAACTCCTTTTCAAAATTTGAGATCTCACCCCACCAGCTGGGATAGAAAGAGTGACACTTACGGGTGGTGTGTAGGGAAGGACGCAGCCCTATAACAGCTATAGAGACCCTATGATTGCCTCGAAGATCGGAACAGTCCCTTCATGCCTTTGTTATACCAAGGACCTGCAGCGATAGACTGCAGAGCCTGACCAAAGCCTTGCACGATCTTGAAAGAAACAGCTGACAACAGCAAGCAGCTCAATCATCCACCCCAATGCTTTCCCTGCTGTTGCCAAGTACCAAGCTACTTCTGCGTAGCACGTTCCTACGTTCCGAGAATAACGCAAATCAACCCTTCAGATGGCTGTCTTTGAGGAGGGATTTCACCTTGATGTGGCCCCCAGGCTTATGTCATCCAAGCAAAAATGACCGCAATTGTGCCCACCGCCCACACAAACTCGGTCCTCTTCTCCCTCCTCCGGGCCCTGCGTGTAATACTTCTCGTCTTCAGGGTCCAACCACTCAGAAGGCTCCTCTTTCCTTGCTGCCATCGTAGGTTTGAAGGCTAAAATCTTACCTTCCGCTAATTCCGCTGTGTTCTGCCTACCTGGACCCCGCGAAGTAGGCAAACCAATGGCTCGAAAACCCATTAAACATGGCTAGCAAGGCCAGTATTCTACATACCTTTTGGGTTTAGGCACTGCCAAATTGTTACCCTGCCAAACCCCCAAGGCAAGGCTGAAACCAACAAAGTTTCAGCTTGTTCCGCATGTACTCCTCCCTCTCCACGGCTCCCCGTAAGGATCTCCACTCGTAGTAGGGAACATGCAGCACTTTGTAGCCCATCCTTCAAGCGTTGGGATCGACGGATTAGGATTGTTGATGGTTGTTGGGCTCGGATTTTGCGGTTTCTTTTTGAAACCTCTACGCTTGCGAACCGTGTTCAGGGATGCTTCAGAATTTGGGCCTGGGTTCAACTAGGTTTGAAGCCGGTCGCCCTCTAAAAGTGGAGATTCCAAAGACAGCACCGTTACATTGATGGGAGGAGTATTTGTAGTATCGGGGGAAGGCGTTTGTCATTACTTACTGGCGTATAGGAGCCCCTTCATAGCCCCCTGAGTTGATACAGTCTGACTGTAGTAAAACTCCTAGTATCCCCCTTAATAATCCCTATAATGCTCCCCTAGACAATCCTCTATGTAACCCTCTTGAGGGAGTTCCGACTATGCTCTTTTCGAAGTTCTTTTCCATTTCTTCAGTCCGCAGGCCCTAATCCCTACAGAGGTGTGCAATTTCTCTTCCATTCTTTCATTCCCTACCAGTCCCCTCCCCCCTGATGATTCAACCCCCAGGCCGAGCCCGCAGTAATAAATGTTCTCAAGATGTTGCAGTACTCGAAGGGTGAGGTGTTCAGAGTAGCAGGAGTGATCATTCATCCTTACTGTCTGGTCCTGTAGAACTATATAACGGTGTCCTTAGCTACAGGTGGGGTTAGAAGTCTCGGGATATGAAGCTTTAGGATTTAGGGCACAAGGAGATAGCCGTGGAATCAAATCCCGCAACCTCTAGATCTACGACATCGTAGCCAGAAGAACCCTATAGCTACAGCTACGATAACTTAGGGGCAATGATACATGGCCTCCTGATTGGCCCGTGAAGGGATCCTTTCCATCCTAAGCCCTCAAACTTAATCAATATCCAATATCCCTGGGTGTCCTTGTGAGAAGACGGTGCTTCAGCTTTGTGTAAGCAGTATACCGCTTAGAGTTGGCGTAGAAGTGCGATGGCCCGTCCACCTCCAGGGGCTAACGGTTTAGTTTGTTTTTGAAATTTCGGAGGGTTTGGGTGCATGTAGGTGCAGGTTTGGGCTGGGTTTGTTGACCGCGCTTCCAGGTTTGTGTTTGTGTGCGTGTGAAGGTTGTAAGGTCAGGGAAGCGTTCAGCTTTTGCGATCAGAAGCAGCAGCCCTCCACAAGTGGACAGAACAAGACCCAAAGGCTCCATGTAGCTATATGGTGCATACTTAGGGCCCAAAATGGTTCCCATATAACTACTTTAGGGCACAAGTATATACCATATCACTACATGGAGCCTTTGGGAGAGGGTATCTGAAAGCTCGGAGGAACTGATTTCTCTTCCTGCCATCCACCTTCATGTCCATTGTCCTTCGCTCCTCTACTACCTGATGATGCTTTCATCACAGGCTTCTTTCTGTCTAGGGGATAAACAATATGTAATCTACCCCAAGCCGCGCCAAGAAAAACATAAAACCTACCTGGCTAGCACTTAAGAACGCAAAATCTTAAGAGCTCCCAAGAAGTAATCAAACCCTCCGGGGTAAGCCTAGAAACCTCAACTTGAATCTCTAAGTGACCCCTAATTACTGGTGCACGCGAAGTTGCAGACCAAGTTACAAGTAGATGTAATTAGGTCATAAGCCTTTTTAAGTACTGCTCGCCTATGTCCCCACATATAACGTCTGTTACCCTACCAGTAATAAGAAGGGTGTCCATAAACTATTGCAGACTGCCGGGTCCAAATAAATCCAGAAGGCTACATTTGCTTTCCCCCAAAGTTCGAAGCCCCAAAACGGCCAGAGAAGTTCCGTCGGCAATAACAACGAGGTGGCCCCAAAACTTCCCGATTGTTAAATTTTGTACTCCCCCACTCCCGTGGTTCGTCTTTGCGAGCGCCCTCCTCTGTAGACCCGCCAAAAAAACGCAAGACACGTTTCTTGGGGGGGTGTACTGTTACAAGACTATCATTGCAAATAACCCTCCAGGTTATTAATGCCCTTTAACCCCCAAAAAGTCCCAAAGCCTACACCCTTCTCCTAAGGTGCTGAGTGGCCTCGATGGCAATGGGCCTGTCCTCGCCGGTAGGAACGTTGCCATCTTCATCAGCCAGGGGACCGCTCAGCCGCCTGGCGAACAGGTTAGGAGTAGGGTTTAGGGTCTAGTTTAGGGTTTAGGGTTGAGGGGGTTGTCTAAGGTCCTAACCACGGGCCCTTAACTGCTTCCTGGGTCCTAGTGGGTTTGTGAGGATTTAGCTCATGGGGTATATAATGAGCATATGAGCCATAGTCTAAACTCCTAGTATCCCCCTTAATATACCCTATAGTTGACCCCTATATAATCCCCTATATAACCTCCCTTTAAGGAGTTTAGACTATAGCTCATATGAAAACCTTCAGATCAAGGACCCATACAAGGGGCCCATCATCCAAACCTTTGCTGGTCAGAATATCTTGGGTCAGGGGTTCAGCGGTCTGCTTCTTTGGGTTTGTGGGGGGTTTAGTTCATAGCCTATATAGTAAGCACCTGGAGAGCCTCGGATTAAAGGCCCATGCTGGGGTCCCATGATTGGAACCTATTTGAACATTTGATTGTCAGAAAAAGCTTCGGGTTTAAGGCTCACAGGTCTAGAACTTATTTTGGAAAGACTTGATCCCTGTTCAGAGCTCTTTGTCGGCACAGTCACTGGGAGAGGTGTCATCACACAAGATAGAACAAGCAGCAATATCAAGCAATAGCTGGCCCCATTCAGCCCCGAAAGTTTGCAACATGGATCACATTCAACAGCTGACGGCCCAATTGTAGTTGCATGTAGCTGCTACTAAGCCAGACTTTTGTTCATTTTTGATCATTGACAGGATTGCTTCATCCCAGCCGTTGGAGGTGTGTGCGTGGGATCCCGCTCTTGCAGATGATCCTCTCAGCCTCTGTATTGACAACGGTGGACGGGGAAGATCCATCTCAGTGCCACGAACTGTTTGCCATACACCCCAAGAAAGTGTCCGAGTCCCACAAGAGCGCTAACCTGACCATTGACGTGTGGACTGTAATTTGGGGTAACTATAAACCACGCGCCAAATTAAGACCCTTCCCTGCAAACCCAAGCCCCAGTTCTTGAGCCACATCACATTGTTTCAAGAGAGGCCAATAAGTGCCGGGACGAATGACCATCAATATCCATCAGCAACTTTCAGCATGAGTTGGGCCCTGAGTGGAAGCCATACCGTAACTCCATTAGGCTAATAGCTACGCTGGCTCGTTTGCAACTGTGAGTTCGAGATCGCTACTTACATGTTATGTCGCTGCAGCACTGCCTGGTGAGGTCCTTGATGATTGCATCCTTCTCCTGCTTCTCTGCTTCTGTCAAGACCTCGCGATCTAACTCTGGACAACACATGCTCTGCTATTGCACTTTCACTCAAACTTCTTCCTAAAGGGTGGGAATGCTTCTGAAAACCACAGGAACCATCATCAGCAGTAAACATATGAACGTAATGGGCGTGTTCAAGCTCTGAAGGCGCCGAAATCTTACGGGAGCGTTTCGTGACGTGCATCTGTGCCCTGAAGCCATGACATTCGAGGCCGGACGACCACGAGTATAGCAAGGCTTCTGCCATCTCAGACATGCGGTGTGCCCACCAGTGCCCGCAAATGAATATATTTTTCCCGTAGTTCAGGGGATCCTCTGTGTTCTTCCGGTATTTTCTTTTTTGCGAGCAGTAAAGTTAGGCTCACTTGCCACTGATCTCCGAAACGCCGTCCTGCGACCTCCGCTCGATACACGATGCAACCGCGGATTTCGTGGTTGACATATCATGATCAGATGTGCAACCTTATTACTTTCTTATTGCAGAATGATGAGGACAGTACCCATAAGCGCAATGTTGCAGTAGGATGAGCTACTGTCATGAAAATAAGCCTAGCTTGATGTGCAAGATTTGCATGTATCAAAGTTACAGTTAAGCAGTCCCCTCGCAACTCCCCGGATTTGCTGGAAAATTGAATTTGGCCCGTGGTTGACTGCTGGAACAAAACATCAAAATGGAAACGCTCCCAGTGGCCCATAACTGACAAACATGTTCTTGCGACACAAAATGCAGCTGCACATGGAAATGTTAGCGCATGTTGAGTGAGTCAGATATATCCAAAACGAAAGTGGCGGGTAATTTGCTGAGATTCAAGTTGGGTACCAAATATAGCCTGCCATATTATCATGTCACATTCAGTTCGGAGAATAACTCGTATCGATGAGTAGCTGTGACCTTTAGACCAAGCAATGCTCACTTCTTTCTATCTTAGACAGCTCATACAATTGGTCGATTCCAACACTACCGATGATGGCTCTCTGACTTCACCATGCATGAAAATAGCAGACAAATTTGCCGCTGAGCCTCATAAGAGATCGCCGTTATATGAATACGTAAAGCTTTTCAGTCGCGAACCTTCACCTAGGCCTTCCAACGCGCAACAGCCCGGACCCCAAAATAATGCGCGCACACGCCATTCGTATTTGGGAAATCTAGGGAAGTAAAAACCAGGCCTTCAGCCCTCATGTTTCGCGATTCCGACATGAAGGCACAAACATCACTTTAATACTCAAATTGTCAAAGCTAATGGAAAATTCTGCTCCCTGCTGCCTGATCTGCCGCGTGCACCGAAATAGTCAAACATAATGACGGCGACGACGGCAGTGGGGAGGGCGGCTACGGCGACAACTACCACGCCCGCTACTGTGAATGGGAGCACAACAAAGGCAGCAGACAACCCTGCTGCAATCGCGACCGCCGCTTCCACCACCACCGCCGCGGCCACATCTGCTGCCACTAAAGCCAACTCTGCTGCTACTAGGCAGTGTTAACTAGAGTGATAAACTCACAGTACACAAAACCCTAAACCCAAATCCATGAGCCCTCATCTACTACCTCGTCAAGCCACAACATGTGGGGGTTGTCCAATATTCCCTTTCGCCGCCCTTTCGCGGACCTTTCGCGGGCTTTCGTCCGCAGCATATTCTTGAGATGTGCAACAAACCTTA